TTATTGATTGCGACTGTACATAATATATATCCAGTATACTGTGTAATATATTATGTCCATATTATAATGGGCATCAAATTGTAATTTATACAAACGATTTGCTAAGTCCGAGCAAATTGTATGTTTTGCATTTGATCGACATAACTGAATTTCAAGAATTTGACCTATCCCCCCACAGCTATATTGCCAGATGCACAATACATATATAATTCGATATTTATAATAATTTTCAGCTGTATATATTGCGCTTTTCAAAACTATTCAGACATTCAAGATAATATATATTAAGTCTATACAGTATAATAAATATCGTCAATAAATTATTGATTTCATCCGGAATTCATCACACACATTTAAGTTGACTAATTTAAATTTGCGTTATTGTTTTGTTGCTTTTATTATTATATCATGACGATTTCGATATTATAAAATGAACTGAAAAATCTAGAGGGTTATACATGAAGTCGAGTTTTGAGACCTTTTTTTTTTTATTATATATATACGAGTTATAAATTTAACTCGGATGAATAGATAAATCAATGATCAAAGCACTCGTAAAAATAATTACCCAAATGTTTTTTTTTTTTTTAAGTCACTAAAATATTCTATTTAAGCAATGTAAACAAATTGTGATTAACTCAAATGTTTTGTGAATAACTTGAAGTTTCAATTTTATTGAAATTGATATCATTTTTAGCATTCTATGAAATAAGGATTTAAATACGCACGTCAAGCTGTTATCAACAAAATTATTTACTTTCATAAAATATTAAAATATTGATGGAAATACAAAATATACATATATACTTAAACACATTTTAGGGCTAGAACTATACATTTTTTTAGTTAAATAAGAGTATGTAATAATCCGTATTTTCTGACTAATAACTAAGAAAATTCACTCTCTATTTTAGAGCAAACTGATGAATGTATTGATTTTACAATGGTATGTGTATGGTTTTTTTGTGTCAATCATAAACTTTAAAGATAATAAAAATGCTTTCAATTTTTAACTTTATGAATGGTTTCTGGTAGCAAATTGAAACTAGTTAGTACTTTGAGGGCCAAAAATAAAAAATTCCCAGTACTTTTTAAAATAACGGTAAAAAATGAAAATAAAATAAATGAAAAACTGGAATTTTGGAAAAATAATAAACGATTTATAAGTTTTTTTAGACTACATTGAAAAACAATGTTCTACTGGAAAGTTAATTTAATTTTTTTTATGATTATTTAAAGTTCAAATTTTTACAACATTAAATATTTATTCGTAAAATAATCATTTCTTCGCTAATGATTTTTGTTATTTTGTATCAATTTAAAAACAAATAACTCGAAAGTTTTACGAAATGTTTAAATTATAATAATTTTCTATGAAAAGTGTAATTTTCAAAATATTTTGACTATTTTTAAGTTATTTATAAACAATTGAATTTTTCAACTTTTTAATTTTAAAACTATTAACAATTAATATTATGTAAAAATTATAAATTCATAGATTTAAATTAATTAAATTTTATAACTAGTTATATGTAGGGGTTAATCTCCACCACACTAAACCCAATTCTGTACAATATAATAATAAAATAACAGTTTATCTAATAACAATACAATTTTAGTGTTTAAATATTATATTTTATTTATGTTATGTACTTTTTTTAATTTTATTTTTTCTCTAGTTCTTTCAACTCTGAGTCACCCATGTTTGATATGAATATATAAAGATATATACATATTATATTGTTTAAATTTATTTAATTCGAACTACATTATACAATGTTTATAATTTATATGAACTCTATAGTCAGGAGTATAACATTATATACCTATTCAATATATCATAAAAAAGTATTGTATCTGCAGTATTTTTTTTTTTTTACAGTAATTTAGAACATTATGATGAGAAATGTTAGGTATACATTTTGTGATCAATTAATTACAGATTTGACTCAGTGAAATTTGGACATTATTCAAAATATTTTCGTTTCACATCAATGTGTTTTGTTAATCTAAAATTTAAATTAGTTATAATACGATATATTCAGATTCGTAGGTATGCATAATATTTATTTTATTTTTGAAATTTAATCATTCTTTTTTTTTGCACTTCGATAATACAATTAAAATAGATATTTACATATAACATTAGATAACTAAATTATAATTATACCGTTTAAATATGTAAAAGATGAATAATATGTTTGCCGATATGATAATTATATTTATAGCTATGCATAGCTTTTCTATAATTTTTAGAATGTCTAGAATGTCCCGACAACAATATGTTGATGAAATTAAATTCCGTAACATTAAAAATTTTTACATAGTGTAACAACTCGTGTAAAAATTTGATAAAATATACCATAAAACTTTTAATTTCCAATTATCGAGTTCATTGAAATCAAAATAGTAATTGAATAGTAAAATAACTTGTGTATGCCCGCAGTGTAGTCATGTGTATATTATTCAAACTTACTGCCAAACGCATGTATTTTTAAACAGTATAGCCTGTATTAGCTGCTTTCACTTTACTTTTAAATTCAAATAACAAACAGACACGTATGGATGTTTATTAAAATCGCATTTTACTTAAGTATAGTTGTTTATGATATTTTTTAATTACGATCTTCAACATTTGTCTAAAAAAATTTTATAAAAATAATGCTTGCCAATATATTTAACCATGAAAAAAACTCTGCCAAACAAATATTTTTTATAGAAAATTGGATTAAGAAAATGTCTTGAATCTATTTATTGTTTTTTATTGTTATCCAAAATTATAAAATACATTATACTCGTACCTACTTAATATAAAATAATGGTATTTTAACTGGTATAAAATAATACCAGAAAAGTAGCTAAGATTCGTCGTGCTCCACAAGGAAATTAATCTACCTACATATTTTACAGTATGCTGAATAAAGATTTATCAAAATAAAATATATTATATATACTTTTAATCTGAAATTATTGAATGAATAATGAGATTTTCTAGTAAAATGTTGTAATCATTAATATAAATTAACTGCTTAATAATTTTATAATAACACATATTAAGTACTAATTTTAAAATTTCCCATTATAAATTATAAATTACACATTGTACAGCAATAAAAGATATATCTATTAGGTATATTAAATATTATTTTATTATTTCTTATATGAGTTATATTCATGCTTTAACCTATGATTATTAATATACAAATATTACATAATTGCCGGCAATTTAAAACAAGAATTTTTTATGACAACTATACATAAAAATGCTTTATAAATAGCTTTTTACTTTTTATAAATATAAATATTATTAGCTAAGTGTATTACATTATTATGATTTTATAAGAATACCATATATTATCAGAAGGTAGGTTTTGAGCTCTTAAATTTTAAACGGAAGCCATTTATACACTTTCGCGGTTATATCATAACAATGGTGAGCATATTTCCTATTCTGAAAACACCCTTTGGAGTTTGGAAGGCATGTTATAAATTGTAGAATATGTATACAGTGCTAACCTGTATGTAGGTATAAGAAATTAGTTGTGAATGGTGTAATTCGAAACATAAAAATTATGTGAGTTATCAGCATGCTGATTTGCAAAAAAAAATATATGCGCTATAAATTGTATGCTAAATTGTGAATTGGCTTAATAATAAGTATACTTTTGAGTAAAATAATGCATTTTTCAACAATTGAAAATGTACATTCTTTTTTAAAAATTCTTCGTAAAATAGATTAAGATATGTGCATATTTGTAATATATTGATAAATATTTTATAGATCCTCGAACTTTTATACCTTATAAAAATATTTTTTTATGATCATTTAAAAAGTTTATGTAGCCATGTAGATATATCTAATATAAGCACAAGGTGCATAGTGAACTGAGATAAATCCACTTAATCGTTTTATTTTATTTTAATATTTTAAATAATGTCAATACTCAATATATAATATAGTAATATTATAGTAATAATATAACACTGACTTTCGCGTAAGCGAATAAAGCGTTATGACTATTATACGAGAGTGGCAGCACGTAAACCAGTCATCGTTTCCTGTAGGTGCTATTTGTTATAGTAATTATTTTTCAAACGATAATTGTGTGCTTAAATTATATTCATAATTTTTATTATATATATTTTTGTCCACAATTCATATTTTATAGTTTAACAATTATATGACAATACATATAATTATATGAGTCGATAGCGAAAAATTGTAAGTTTTTACTCTAGTATTAATTATTTGTACAATAATAATATGAACGCATTATTTTGTATTATAATTTATAAAAGTTACCAGTCGAAAACAGTCATAGCTATAATAATACTATGTACAGGTATTTTAAACCTCAGATTTTAAAATCGTATACCTGCATTAAAAAACTACGAGTACAATTTGTAATTATGTACATGTGGGTACTTATAAGTAATAATATTTTTTGTGTGAAATAAGTTAAGTGTAGTTATACACAAGTATGAAAAAAATTGTGTTATTTTTTTCTCTAAAGTTTGTATACATACAACATACAATTTATAAAGATATAGGTATAAAGTATAGACTATATTACGGAGGCAAGTACCAAACCAACTTGTAATTTAGCAGACAAAAAAAAGAAAAACGTTCGTTTTTGAGAATGGAAGAAAAAACTTTTAAATTAGTTTTACGTTCAGCGTAGGTTAGGCATGTTCTCGTGTATGAGAAAAAAACAAACACGCAAATGGGTCTGAGTGGTTCATTTGTAAGTGGTGAGTTTTGTGGTGGGGGGGGGGGGGGGTAACTTGGAAAATCGGAATGAGCCAAACTATTGTTGCAATTCAAACCGTGTCCGGGCCGTACATACGATTCGGGGGACGGGCCAAGGGATCTCGAGGACGGGTCGTAGTGTACGTTTATCATAATAGTAATTAGTTGTAACAAAAATAAAAATCATAATAACGGAGCGAATTTTAAGTGGGGACAACAACGATAAAAGGTATATATTAATAAAACTTACCTCGTATGCAATAGTGGATGATGGGGTGATGCTGCGTAGCAAGTTCCACTTTGGACAGTGCTCGGACTCTTCGGACTGACGTTTTCCCTCTTGATACCGTCGACGTTTATTATAACGTTTATACCGTTGGCCTACTCGCGATCAGGCTCTGCAGTGTTATCAAACTTTGAGTATAACTGTATATAATATTATTAGGTATATTGTAATGTACGCGTGACGGACTAAAAATAATATGATCCGTTTAGTCGCATTCGTATAATAACGTTAATCATAAAAATTATAGTAAAACGAGTCGAAATAAACGGAAGGAATACTACGGAAAAAAAAAAACGAATTTGTAACGAAAATGTTGACGACTGAAAATCGGACGAATCGCCCGCGCAAAACGACGACCGGCGTGCGTGCTCCCAACGGCGGACGTGCTGGGCGCGTGGCTGGACGCGGCAGACTGACGAGTGACGACGACGGCCGTACGATGTCTTTCGTAATGTTATAATTTTCGCGTGCCGACGCGGTGCGAGAGAGAGACGCGCGCGCCGAGAGACTCGTCGTCGTGTACCGCCGACCGGTGTTCGGCGCTGACGGCGGCGGCGATATTATAATACGATGCGCGCCGCCGAACCGGCTACGACGGCGCCGCCCTCAGGTTTATTACAGGAGTCTGGACGACCGAGACGCGAGCGTCCGTCTCAGAACGACGACCACTCTACGAGCCCGAAATATAATATTATAATAATATGCCTACATACGTTTTTATTATTAATAATATTTACAATTCGGATATTAAAAAATTATTCATTGCCGGCCGATTGTTAATACCGCGGGCACATATCAAAACCAAAGCACAATGTAGCAAAAGAATAATATTATTATGAACAATATAATTAGCACCGACATAATTAACGCTGTTAAAATATAAATGTGTAGATCAAATTCAAGTATAATTGTTTATTGACATTTTCAATAGTTAATTTAATTTTCATAAATTCTTATAAATTTTCAATTTTACTGCAGTTAACAATTAATTAGTTCTGATTTTATAACACTTGTATATTCTCGTTATTACTTGATTAATAAATTATGTTGTATGCTAACTATTAAAATATTATCTATACCTACTTGAATTCCAGTTGTTTATACTTATAATATTATTATACTAAATTGCTATTATATTTTACACTGACAACGTTTTAATTGCGGATAGTTAATTGATGATATTATTTTATTTTTATTTTTTTTTTATGATATTTTAGTGGCGATTTTTAAGTTATTTGATGTTTTACCAGTGATGTTATCTCGATATTTCTATAATACGTAATATACGACGATTGTGCTCTGGAAAAATAATACGCATACGTTTAAAAAAAACCTGAAAAAAACCTATGCGATGTGTATTTTTTTTTGCTCTTGGTTTCTTAATCGAAATTTCACAATTCGATGTCTTGATTTTTAATTAATGAAGTTTTATACATATTCGTATAATAAAACATTTTATGAATTATCTAATATGAGCTAAATGTTATGATTTAAATATGAAAAAAAAACCATTAAAATTTAATATTGTAATATATGATTTCGTGTGCTGTGCTATACACGTCCAAAATAGCAGATAACTTCCTAATATTTTTGCATCATAACTCATCGCGTACAGACTTGCCTAATTTATATTACCTCGCATACCGAATACACCTTATCATTAAATGAATCACTATAATATATTATGTGTTAAATTTTAATTTAATGATAAATCGTTGGACACAAAAATTTGATGTTTCTGGGAGAATATAGGTCTGTTAGCCAGTAGCCTAAAGTAATCGGGGAGAGGAATATAAAAAAAAACTGGAATTTTAACTTAAACAAATTTTTAAAAATATCAATTATCTTATTTTGTTGTAATTAAATAACTAATAAATGTAGATACTTTAAATTTTCGCTGTATGTTTATATTATTATTTCTGTATATGATAACATTTTAGAAATATTTTGAATATTTATAAATTATTTATAGACATTTAAAGTTTTTTTAACAACATTTATAAAAAAAAAAAATTGGAAAACGGTTTAAACGAAGATGACAGTAAAACTAAACATAATAGAGTTATTATATAATTAGTTCAATAATATCAACATTTTTATAAATAATGTTAATTTTTTTTTCGGTTATTTTAAAATGAACTGAGAATTATTGATTTTAACCTACAAAAATAACAACTAGATGATCCAATTTTCTACAAAAAACTTCAATAGAAGTTGATAATCAGTGCATTATTTTCTACAAGAAAAATTAGGCATAACATTTTTATACATTCACGTGCATAAAAATTTAAATTAAAATCACACTTCAGAATAAAGTGTGTAGATTCGTCACTCCATTTAGAATTTATAACTAAATTCAGAGTTTATATACTTGATTAAAGTGTCTCTCGATGCTTTTTTCTATTTTTTTCTTATAAACAATTTACTTATTGTCAAATATTCTACCTTTACTGATTGTAAATTTATGTAGAATTTGGTAAGATGTATGCTGTCCTTCAAAAAAATTGTCTCTTACTAGTTATTACTAAATTAAAATTATTTGGTGTGAAATTGTGAAATGTTGAAGTTTCAAAACAAACTTATTTTTTAAACATTTTATTTTACACGTAAAAATATATTTTAAAAGTTTAATTGGTCCAGTTATATTTAACGACATATTTTATATTAAGACATTATTGTTTGTACTGCTATTTTTGGTTTGCTAAAAATTGGGCAGTAATCAATAAGATAAAAAATACCTGTAATATTCTCCTAAATATTATGAGAATGTATTATTTTCTATATTATAATTAATTTGAAACTATTAAGGTTATTATTATCTTTGATAATACAAATTTTTATTTTTTATCACAATACCAACTTAAAAAATTATAAAACAAGGAAAAAATTTAAATTTAACAAAACTTGTGGTAAACATGTATACTAGGTATAATATGTGGATATTTATATTTCAGTGAAATAAATTTAATTTGTAAGTGTGCGCGTTTGTCATAATATTAAAAATAACTCATTAAAAGTTTTTGCGTTTTCATTGTGATTAAAAGCTAACTTGTTCATGGTTACATATATTGTTGGTTAGCACGTCTAGGGTAAGTCAAACTAATTGACGTATCAGGGAGAAAATTGTCTCTACCTAAGTCTTGCATATTTGAAGTGGTAGTCATTATATTAAGTGTGTTAATGTTAATGGTAGATGAATATTGAATAGGTAATAGTAATAAAATCACGTCACATAATTTGTGTAATACTGGTAATCGATTTACTAATGTCGTGTAATTTTGTAAATGTCTCTATAAAGTATTATATACCTACACATTTTGTTTAAGTTATTTCATTGAAAATAATGATTCTGATAATATTTTTATGTCATTTATAAACTACACTTATTATCTTTATATTTTATCTAGTTTATTAACTATTTATTATTTATAAAAAATTTAATTAAATCAATATTTTTCTATTTTTGATTTAAAAACTTGAAGTTTTTTAACTTTAATAGGCTATTTATTAATCTTCCTAATGTTTTTATTAAAAAAAATATTTTTGAAATTATCATAAATAATTTTATAACTTTTAACGGTACTGACATGTTGTTGATTTAAAACATAAATTAAAAACTTTGTACTTATTTCACCATTATATTCATATTTTTTAACATTTTTTTTTTCGTGTATTAAATATTATTACTTTTATTTATTAAGTAAAATAAAATTAGAAAATAATTTCACTCAATTGTTTAAAAAAATGTTATCTAAGAATAATCAAAACTAAATGAGTAGATGGATATTTTTAGTAAAATATTAATTAATCGTAATAAAATAATCATTCATGTATACAAAAATAATATTATAGTATTATTAATATATATTGTTATACTTATGATTATAAATTATTATATCGCTCATAACTTATTTTGTTTACTATGTTTATAGTAAATTTAAGTTTAAAAGTTTAAGTAGTACGATTTTAAATCTTAGAAAAAAATAGATTAAGAAAAAATACAGTAGGTAATAATTATTAACGAATAGTAAGAATTTTATAAGTTCAATTTGAATTTTACGTTCACTCTAAATTAAATTGATAAATATGCATGTTATATAAATATTTAATATATATACAGTGTGATCACGATAAGTAGAAACATTCAATGACTATGTGCAGGCTTCATGTATTTCAATTTTGTTTTTTGACTAACTAATAAAGTAATAAACATTATTATATTATTAATATCATTATATTTAGTATAAACATTTTCAAATAATTAGACTATTTTTGTGACACTTAGTTTTGCGCATGTGCACAATAAATTTTTTTTTTTTAATGGTATGACCTATTTTTGACCACAAATTATTATTTTTTCTATTTTTAATGAATTTTTGTGGTTTAATTTTTTTTCTAAGTTAAAAAATGGCTGAATTATAGCAATTTTTAATTTTATGTTAATTGTAAGGGTTAACTGATTATTAAATAAGTAGTCAATAATAATAAATACGTAACAATGAAAATAAAAATAACTAATCTAATTTATGAAATATTATTTGTTTACCTATTGTGCTTATCTTTATTAAATCTATCTTAGTAATTATATCATAATTTATAAATAATATCATATGGGCAATTGGTAAAGATACTAAGGCATTAAAGAACTTCCACAGTCAATATTATAATCCATATAGTTACTTATTTATTTATTTTTTTATTATTTTTTTTGTTATAGTTTTTAAATCAAATTTAATACTTATTTATTAGTTATTATGAATAATAATCTAGAAAAAAGTTGACATGCTTTTTACATAATATTAGAAATGTCACAAAAATACACGTCTTTACAAAGAAACCTATATTATTTCTTATTCGAGTAACTATGATTTAAGATTTAACAATAAATTTGATTTTCTCATCAAATTAATTCTTTTTCATATTATAAATTCAGATAGGTAGCATTCAACACATAGTTTTTTTTTTTTTATATATAAGCTGGAAAAAAATTTAAGAGACACCGGTTCTTTTTCCAAACAAATAACAAATTTACCAATAACCAAGACGAGGAAATGCTATTGAAGAAGATATTGAGGAGCAAATCTAGCGTACGTAAAAGCAAATTCTAGGACTTCTATTCGTCATGTTAGTAGTGAAACAAACTTTTCATAAGGAGACATTCAAATATTTAAAAAAAATATATAACATGTACGCTTATCATTCTAATTTAGTACAACATTTAAATGAAGGTAACGCTGAACGTAGAATTACGTTCATTACTTGGTTAAAAACCCAATTAAACGATAATCCTTATGTTTTAAATTACATTATTTGGACAGACGAGTCTAAGTTTACAAATAATGAAGTTTTAAACAAACAGATTCATCGCCACTGGGATGACCAAAATCCTCATTGGACATTTGAGACCAACAATTAAACTATGTAGGGAACAAATTTATAGTGTGA